TGCGATCCTATTTTTGCGATCCTTTTTTATGCGATTTGTTTTGTGCGATTTTTTTTATGCGGTATATGAATCTCAGTTTAATTTCTCCTATCAGTGTACATACCCACATAACATAAAAACTTTCTAAAACATTTCTTAAAAGTTTTAAACCTTTCAAAATGGATTCTAAAAAATCTTTCTACAAGGTGAAAATATCCGCGTTCAGAGACTTGCAAAAGATTACTCTATCAGTGAAATATTTTAGAAATGTTTTTAAAATATTTTTCTAAAATCTTTTATGAATTTTTTTCAAAATATTTTAGAATGATGTCTGCAAGGTTTTTGAAAGATTTTTTGGAAATATTTTACGAAACTTTCGCTGAAAGATTTCAAAACATTTCGTGTTATGTGGGTATACATGTGTGGACAAACCCTGACTACGTGGACTCTTTGACGATAATGGAGTCTTATACAACCACTGGATCAGGGCATAGTCGCAAATTTTAAGAAACATTGGGTCAAATTAACTTTTAGCTACATTCTGAAAAAACTAGAGAACGATGAATTAGACCTGACTAAAGTTTAAAAAAAATTCTCAATTTTAGACTGCATAAACCATATTACTACAGCAATTGGTCCAATAAAACAACACACATTAAATTCGTGCTGGAAAACGATCTGGCTTGAATGTGTAATTAATCGAAATGTAACCAAAAATGCGTCCACATTATTATCTGAAATTACTGCGCTCGCACATAATATCAGCGGAGAGGGCTTGGATACTTTCGGCGAAAATAGTCTAGATGAAGTGATTGAGGACGAAACTGCCAATGATAGTAACATTATCAATAATTTAATAGATTATGAAGACAGACAAGAAGAACCGGAATCTATTACAGCCGATAAAATATATGCAGGGTTCAGATTTCTAAAAAATTAGAAACGCATTTTCTTAAAATATATACTAATTCCGAAAGAAGCTTGAAATTCCAAAAAGAGCTAAGATCATACATGTCTTGCTATTATGACGTGTACAAGTAACTGACCAATCGACCGACGTCACAAAAACTGATCACTGACTTTATGGTGTCAAAATCAATTGAAATCGTATCTTCAAGCGACGAAAACGATATTGAACCAATTCGTCACATGAAGATGCGCGTTTTGGATTACGAGTAGCAGTGAATTATTTAATGTACATTTTGAAAATTTCTCCATATATACAATGAAAAATTAAATGTTTTTAAAATTTTTCCAGGCCTAATTTATTTATTTAATTTGTTTAAAATCATTTTCTGATTTATTTCGTAAATAATTGATGTATTTTCTAAGTGCGACTTTTTTTATGCAGTCCCTGTCCGCCGCATAAAAAAAATTTTAGTTAATACATCGTACAAAGTTGTTGATTATATGTAAGTATTTATAAAATTTCCGAATATTTTTTGTATGATTTCTTTCATGCGGTCCCTATCCTCCGCATAAAAATATATTGCCTGTATATTGAAACAAATCTATATAAAAAATATATTTAAATATTAAAGCGATATACGCAACTGCAAAAGGGCCAGAAAAGCGTTATAGATTTTGTGCGGTTCTACGGTCATGGGCTGGTTCTCATTTCTGTACTGTGCACGCTACTGTAATTTTTAGGTAAAAGTAAAAAAAAACGGTCCAGTGTAGTATTTCTCCGTCAAACAATGTTAACACACAATAATATAAAGGGATAAAGAGAACACGCTTGACTGAAAAGTCCGCGAGTTTCTCTATAAAAGGCCAGACCGAAGTCTGAGAGGAAAATGATATAATAATAATAATTTAATCAATCGGACTTAGCAACGATATATTTTTAGTAAAGGAAAATGGATCACGATAAAGTGGTACCTCACCAGTGACAGTACAATGCTGATTGCAATCAACAATTTACCCTTTCAAGAGGGTAGCGTGATACGGGTAGAAAAGTTTGACGTTCTATTATCATCGTATCATCCATGCGATAGGAAATAAGCACGATGCAGTGCAATGCGATTATAAAATACGAATTGGAAAATACGATTGAAGTGGCGCTTGAATGGAGCGCGCTCGATCGAATGGTACTCGAATAGAGATTGTTGGTGTCACAGACGCGTGCTGACAAAGACTTTTTTTCATAGAAGCGATCAACTTCTCGATGCGATTAGAGATAGATATTTTATCGTATGATGAAATGAATTAAATAAGTTTTGCAAAAAATGAAAAATATAGATCAGATGTAACACTCATTTCATCCAATGAATAAATATTTCCTCTTAGAATAAGTAATATAAGTTTTAAAACGATGAAAATATTGTGAATAATCTTTATTGCAAATTTTTAATATTTTTCTTTACAAATGTTCATATAATTAATCTTCTTAAACAATGAAAATATTTTATATAAAAATTTCGAGTAAATGTTCCATTGTGAGTTCCTAACTATGAATTATTAAAGCTTGAATTATCTTGCCATCGCAATACCTTAACTATACTGTATATTTACATACTTCCTGTCGGTCTAAAGGTTGTTAAAACAATGGAGATATAATTGTTGAAATTACTTTTTAAAATTTGTTAATTCGTGAAATAAATAGTTAAACACTGAAATAACTATACTGATCTAATTAAATATGAAAGAAGACAAAATTACATATTTCAATTAGGTCATATGTGAATTTATAAGAGGCGAGTAGTTAAGATACAAAATTAAAATTTGATTGGTAGATTAGATCCGATAAAACAGCATAACAATAAGAGAACATTGGTTTTCAAAGTACAAGAAGACTTTAAAGACGAATCAAATTTCAATCTCGTACTTTAACTACTCACCTTTTGTCAATTCATATATAATTTTATTAATTCCTAAAAGTATTAATCTTAATATGGAACAAAATTCTTTTTATATGCTTTTCCGAAACGCTTAGTTATTTCGAATAAAACTTAGGATTTCGATGATTTATTTCTCTACTTCTATGATTTTAATAATAAGATTGTAATACTAAGGAGGATAATAAATAAGATATTTGAAGAAATTGAACAATTTATTAAATTTATAATATAGAAAGATCAAAAAAGAAATATAGGATGATGGGAAAGTAATAATAGGAAAAGAAAAGGAAAACGAAAAAAAAGAAGTAAAAAGGTCAAGTAAATAAATTGGTTGCCGAAGCAGCAAAATTTTTAGTTTTATTCATAAGGTGAAAAAAATAAATAAATATTTAGTAACGTCGATCCGTAGAAATTTCATGCAGAATTAATAACGCAATAATTTCTGTAAATAAAAGAAAGTGACAAAAAAAGAAGTATACATATATGTTTCTATAAATATATATATATATATATATATATATATATATATATATATAGAGAGAGAGAGAGAGAGAAAGAGATTATATATATATATGTGGGATTCGTGAAAAAAATTGGCGACTGCTCTTTAACCAATTGAGCTATCCAGGGCCCACCGACCAATCCTTCCCACGAATGCCCAATAAGTTTGGCATGGAGGCGCTCGTCCCACATTCCACCCCCTCCCCTTTTAACAACATTCGACCCCGAATGTTATACCACCCAACTTTATCTCCTCTTTTTGTGGCGTCCTTCGCCACCAACTTTCAACTTTCGTCTTTCTTCGTCTTAACTTCGTCTTTAATTTTTTTTCTCACTAAGATTCTTTAATTTTTTCTCACTAAAATTCTTTTAATTTTTTTTTCTCACTAAGATTAAAACTGTGGAACGTGTTAACGAAGCAGACCCTCCATCCCGGACGAGCCCCCATGTGTGGGATTCGTGAAAAAAATTGGACCGCTGAAACTGACTGGACTGGGATTCGAACCACGGTCTTTCGCTTTCCGGGCGACTGCTCTTTAACTAATTGAGCTATCCAGGGCCCACCGACCAATCCTTCCCACGAATGCCCAATAAGTTTGGCATGGAGGCGCTCGTCCCACATATATATATAGGGATAATTTATTTAGGGTGAGAGGTGCGAGGTGAACATACACCCAGTTTAATCCTACTAATAAGATTTATTTAAAACAGGTATTAGAAAAGGTACAATATTAGTTTCACAATCTTACGGTTACAACTTAGATGAGCGACTGMATTCTTACGACTGTTACAACTGATACAACTGCGACTGTTACAACTGATATTTAACTACTTCTACGACTGAGACTGCTTTACTTCTACGACTGAGACTGCTTTACTTCTACCACCGAGACTGCTACTTTCTTATTTCTTTCCATGTCTTTTATATCAAAAATCACCTACACCCCTTTTTGAGAGGGAAGAAGCTTACAAATCTTACTGACCAATAGCATAAGGATCCACCCCATAGTCCACCGACAGGTACAGCCTATGGTTTTCGGTAGTGGGAACTATGCATACAGAAACTTAATCTAGCACATCGGAATGTTACCCTTTTTATGGCATCGCATATGTTTACACAGCTATCTGAAATTCTTCAAAAGGTCCCGACACTGCACACACGGTTTTTATTACACCAATATCCTAATAATCCTTAAGGTTCGTTTATGGTTTTATGGCCTACCTGATCTTTTCTTTTAGTCTGAATAGAGTTTTCCTTTTCAATAAAATAAGATCCACAGAAAGGACTGAATACTAGTTTTTGTCTACCTCTGCTACACTTAACCCCTTCCCGTGCCATTTAGCTCGACGAAACTCGGGCCCAAGCGGTACACATCGAAGCGCGGTAAACAGACCACACTGATGTTCGTAAACAGTCGCAATACGAACCGAAATGTAGATGCCCGCGATACCTGTGGTATAGTGAATTTTACGCGATACTGCTGTTGAGGAAGTAAACTCTTACGCTTTTACTTTTATGATATTATAAATTTATTATATTTTGTATATAATATTGTAGGATATGTATAATAGTTTGGTCCTCTGAGAAATATAATAATACTACACCTAAAAGTAAATGGTATATTATTTAAAAGAATTTAATCATAAAACTGTCTGAATATCCAAAAAGGAAATACGTACAATTCTAGAAATCCTCCATGGTATGATACTTCTCAAAACATTTTGGCAGATGTAAAGCCACTTTACATTTCGCGCATTCCCACTTCGTTGCGCTTCGAATTTTCTGTTTATAGCAGACTTTGCACATCCTTGTTGGATGCTTATTCCGAGGTGTCGGATCTATATTTTTGGGGAAATGAGCCCAATATCGAGCTTGGAGTCGAAGGGGTGTTTCAACTGATGATTTCCCACGCATTTTGTAGTCCGGTAATTTAACAATTTGTAAAATTGCCTCGGCTATATTTACACGGTAATCAACATAGGTCTCCCTATCTTCTTAAATTTTAATAATTGAACTGCTTCGTGAAAGCAACGATACAAATCGTGTCTAACTATCACGAAGTACTGATAGAAACTAGCATTCCGTCACGACAATAACGGGCAAAAAATCAGTCCGCGAGCTCGGCTTCTTATATTTATGTTTGGGCCAAGTATCCGGTCGCGACCCTGAATCGCGATACTTATGTTTGGCCCAAGTATCTCGTCGCGACTCTGACTCGCGATATGCATGTTTGGCCCAAGTAATTCATCGCGAGTCTGACTCGCGATATGCATGTTTGGGCCAAAATCTTCATCGCGAGTCAGACTCGCTAAAGTACGGGAAGGGGTTAAAACTCTCCTACATATATATATAGAGCGAGAGAGAGAGAGAGAAAGCACAAAGTACAAAAATAAAAGATAGGAAATATAAAGAAAGTAGAAAAATTCTTCAAATCATTTTTTTCCAGCTCTTTTCCTTTTCTTAGAAGGACGCAAAACACGATATTCGTTTTTACTCGTTAATTTATTTTTCCATCGGTAAGACAAAGGCGAAGGCGAAGACGAAGACGAAGACGAAGACGAAGACGAAGACAAGCCGGTACGATGAACTTTCATCTTCCTTCTCTCGTTTTAAACCAACATTTCGAAGCTTTTACTTTCTCTTCGCTGAACTTTACTTTTCATCGTTTTTCATCTTTCCTTAGTTTTTCTTGTTCCACTTTTTTTTCATTTCTTTCTTCGTTTTCTTCTCTCTTTCTCTCTCTATCTCTCTTTCTATTATTTTCTCTTCTTTCCTCTTCTAGACATATTTTCTCATTTTTTCTCAGCAAGATTCGATCTTCGAGTATCTTTTTCTTTATTTTCGTGAAATAAAACGCGTTAGTTTTCAAATGAAACAAATTTCTCAGATTATCGCGACTATACGTCACGCTGTGGAAAAAGGAAATTATAAAACGTCGCACGGTTTCAATTAGAGACACAACGCTACCCTCGGATGCATCTCTGTGATGCAATTAACCACGGACACCACTTGCGTTAAGAGTATCCCTTAAAAGGACTGAAAGCACGTTATAATTAAGACGTCGTGCTACTTCTTCGTATAATTAGCCACAGCCGTCGTCGCTACCGTCATCGTCGTCGTCATCGTCATCGCAATATCTGAGTTCTTGAAAACCGAAGCTTTAACTCTTTCGTTAGTGATCAGAATTGTTTTTTGAAGTGAAAACTTCTTTAGAATGGGAGTGATTTGAAAGAAATGAAACACAGCACGGCGTTACGTTATGGCGAGCGGTGGCAAACGGAAGTTAGAAGAGAAAAAGAGACAAACATTTTTCACTTTCATTTTATATTAGATATTAAATATTAATATTAAATATTAAATATAAATATTAATATTAATATTAATATTAATTTCATGCGTGTGCGCGTGAATTTCGTGCATGTGTGTGTATTGCGAGGGAGGGGTTGTGTCAGGGTCGCGTCAGGGTCTCTGTCCAGCAGTATTTTCCATATGTTTTTCGTAACGTCTTTATTTCGTCATTCCTAAAATGTTTGTTCAACAGCGCAAAAATTTAGATGAAAATGAGAATTCGAATAACATCGTAACCAATTAAATTTTATGCCTGAGTTTCACAAAAAGGATATTTTATATTTACTTAGTTTACGACGAATTATATTTCCCTCAATAAACATTCTAAAATTTTGGTGTCTATCTATGACTATCGCATTCATCATTCCATTTTTATTGCTTGAATTGGGAAAAGTGTACTATTTATCAGCTATTTCACCCGGAGACCATACCGGTGATCTTTATTATATATGTTAATAATATTATAATAAATAAACCCTACAATTATCTTACTCTTGAAATTGTGCATTCGTCTTATTCTCTCGAAACTTAGTTTTTTGAAGGTTTCGCTTCTAACAGGTGTGATCTGCACACATGATATTTTTTTTTCGTTAAATCTCATTTATTAAAAAAAAAATTGTACATAAAAATAATGGACAGAGAAAACTTTTCCATTTCTTTTTCTCATTTGAAATGGATAGATATGATATCTCCTTTCATTTCGTTGATGCAAAAACTAAAAATTTCCATAAAAGTAACGAACGATCCAAATCGTATTTCACGAATCGCATAGACTAAATAACATAATTACAAAACATAATTAATAAAAAATCGCTTTATCTCGCTTACTTTTTGAGATATTTTCAAAAATGTAAGAAAAGGTGGGAATAGTTTTTTAATTTTTTTAATATATCTCGAAAAGTAAGGGAGATAAAATATTTTAGTACTAGACCTTTTTTGTAGCAAATAAAATTGTCTACAAAACATAATTAATAAAAAATCGCTTTATCTCGCTTACTTTTTGAGATATTTTCAAAAATCTATCATGGTGTCACAGATGCGCGCGAGACTCTCGAGCTATAGAGAATATAGAAGAAAAAGAGAATATATTTAAGAAAAAGTGTTTTATCGCGTTATACTGTTTTCATTGAGACGAAGCCAAGAATAGATTGTCTATCTCTCTTGCAGGCATGTAAGCTAAGAGTTTGCGCATGCGTGCCATGGCGACCTATGTCACAATGAGTAAGAGCAAGATAGCTTCATTTTCTGTTTCTTTCTACAAAGG